GATGTAGAGCTACAGCGAAAAAGCAAAGATTCTTTTGTTTCTTGGCAATTATGCGGCACACCCTCAGGTCAGTGCGTTTGAAAAACATCCGACTCCAATATCTGTCTGCCAGCATAACATCGTTGGTGCAGGTAGTCTATATGGGAATCATTAAAAGTGTGAATATGTCTTACCGTGGAAAGTTGGTGAATAACTTCCTGAATACGATCCCAAGAAAGTTCACAAACATCATCTTCTACTGCCAGGGTAGTGAGTCCAAAGTTTAATCTTCTACAGACGATAGAATTTTTTGCCGATAGTTGGCTAGGAATAGGCAGTAAAACAGGTCAGAACTGCTTTTCTCATTGCGATTTTAAGCATTTTGGATCTGAGATGCCTCATAGAGCCAAAAGTGAATATTAAGTTATCTGAGAGGGGCAAAAGCTTAGGAACTGTGAAGATTTTAATGGTATCGACAATGATGTTAAATGAAAGTTGTGAGGTTGAAAGTATTCTGTCAGCACATCAGGAATAGGAATTAGAAGGCGAGCATAGTAACGAAGACGAACGCATCTGAACTTTAGCGAGTGACTGAAGATGATGCCAAAAATATTATCCATGGGTTGTTACGACTATACTTCGTGCAGGAAAGCAACGAAGACAAGTTATTTCCTGCACCAGATGCCTGTAACGATTTGGTTCATTCACAGCCAGTGAAAAAAACCGCATAGTAAACCGAATACATGCTATTCGCAACCACAATTAGTTACCAGAAGTTTAAAAGTGATTACATGCATAGTTGCTAAATGAATGAAAGATTTAAGTATCAGATAATTTCTCTAATTTCTTGTGTATTTTGTTTTAATACGATTCGATTGAATGACTTTGATGGAAACAGAAGTATCCCGGGATAAGCCATTAACTATATTGATAATCATCATAAGGGAAAATGGAAACAGTTTAAAGTGAAGAATATTTCAGTATTAAATTCATTTGTTGTATTGACATTAATTGAATATGTATTGCAATATTTTTTCATTTCAGTAAAATATTTCTTGCACACTGAAATGTTAGTTTGTGTTTTTTTATTTTTCTGCACATTTATCTATGAAACTCTGCGTGGTTATGCAGCCGCTTAATCTAGCCAAAATGTTCACATGTTCCCATGTTAACGGCATTTCCTCTATCGCAGCACTTATTATCAGGATATGGCGATCGGATACCCTGTAACAATTGGCCATCGAACCGTGCGTATTCAGGCACGCCCACTGTTTATTGCGGATCTGATCCCACTGCGTTAAGTTTATGCTCAACGTCATGATCTTCTGGCTCAGCACTGAATATCTTCATGATCTTAGCGACCTCGCAATCGGTAAGATTAAAAGATCAAATTTTTATGCTAGGTAAACTGGAGCATTAAAAATTACATGTGGAAGAGACGTTCCTCAGGCTATATCTATAAAAGTATAAGAAAGACTGATATGCTATCGATTTAAGCTTTTTTTCTGCTCGGCGTCACATCTAAAAACAGAAATTTTGTGCATCTGTA